CCAATACAAAAAAGTTTGCGTGTAAGAACTTTCAAATAGATAGTCAACAAGAAAATAATGTCTTCTCTCTATTTTTAAATAAAAATATTCTGTGCAGATCTGGATATGGCAACTTAAACTGTCTTTTTTGACAGTATTTCACATAAAATATGTTCTAGAAAGGACTTGCAAAAGAGGGAAGTGGTACCATTGGAGAAATATGTTTGGACTAATTTTTGGTTGGAAAGATTCAGACTATTAGGGTATTTGAGCTATTTGTGCCCCTAACCATTGTAGTAATAACATTCCCTAGGCGCTTAGCTGAAGTCTAGTGGTTAACCCATCTGCAACCAATCCATTTGTGTGTGTGTGTGTGTGTGTGTGTTTGTGTGTGTTTTGTTCTTATTTGTTTGTTTTTGAGAAAGGGTCTCACTCTGTTGCCCAGGCTAGAGTTCTGTGGCATCAGCCTAACTCACAGCAACCCCAAACTCCTCCATGTTCCTAGGACTACAGGCACCCAGCAAGTTGCCCAGCTAATTTTCTGTTTTTAGTAGAGATGGGGCCTCCCTCTTGCTCAGGCTGGTCTCTCACTTCTGAGCTCAAGGGACCCTTTTGCTTGGCCTCCCGGAGCGTTAGGATCAGGGACATGAGCCTCTGCACCCAGCCACATCTGCGTATTTCAATGACCTTAAAGTTTATAACCCTTTCATAGGCATATGCACTAAAAATGCAATGTTCTTCCACCTTTTTCATTACCTAAATTTTATTTTCTTCCAAAGCTCAGGTCAAGTGGCATTTGTAGTTTTTTCCTGAATACATGTGTCTCTATGTTCCTGTAACACTTGATGCTTCTCTCTTTTCAATTACCAGGCACTAAAGTATGTTTTGGTAATTTGTTATTTATCTCTTAGTTTAATACATGAAATTTGAGTTCACATAAAATTCTCTCATCAAACAAACTATGTCAGTTATTTCACTATTTCCTGATGTATTTGAAAACATAGTGAACCATTAGACTTAGTTTTATTGTTAATATTTACATTGGTAGCTGCTAGTTGCTTAAGCTGGAATTGCTAAGACATAAGAGTGAGAGCCATTCACATTTCTCTTCTCTCATTTCCAGCAGCTAACTGGTAAGCAAACTTTTATATCTAAATATCTTGATGCTCTTTAGCTTTCTCTAGCTTTACAACTCAGCCATGGGTAAAGCCTTCATCACTTGGTTGCACAACTCCAATATCTTTCTATTTACTACTGATCCCTAATGAATCACCCACATCCAAATGGCTTATGGAAACAACATTTTATTTTATTCATGGTTTCGGGGATCAGGGAATCAGAAGGGCATCACTGGGTGGTTTGTGTTTGGAAGCCTCAGCATTTGCCCTCAGATAACTGCGTTCCTCTGAAAGCTCTGCTGAGCATCAGCGAGATATTCTCAGCCTTGTTGCTCGGCTTCTCCAAGGACAGTATCCATGGAGAAAACCAGGAAAAGCACTACAGCCCTTCGTGACCTAATGTAAGATGTTACTTCCTTCACTGGTGCATGTTGCCTTGGTTACTAGTAAGTCACTAAATTCAACCCAGATTCAATCGCAGAAAACACAGAGACCACCTTTCTGTAAGAGAGGAATCAAAGAAGCTATAAACTGCCAGGGGAAAGCCCTGAGGTTCTGGACTCTTCCCAAACGTATCCATGGACCACACTGTTAGCAGAATTCTTCTTATAATAAATTATTTGTACTGTTTTCTTTTATACTGACAGAGATTACTAAACATAACATACTTAGCAAATATAACATCTAATATTGACTATACAATATGTAAAATGTACATAGAATATGTCATATAGCAGGAATATGTCATATAAGCAGGAATTGTACTCTTGGAATTAATACATGCACACGGTTAACTATATTTGATGCAGATTTTTTTTTTTTTTTTTGCAGACTTTGGTTGGAGCTGGGTTTGAACCCGCCACCTCCAGCATATGGGGCTGGTGCCCTACTCTTTTGAGCCACAGATGTTGCGCTGATGCAGGATTTTTTAAGAAATAAAACGTGCAATAAACATTCAGGCTTTCAACTACTTTGCTGTTTTTCTTATCAAAGATATGAATGTATTTTTACATTTTACTACATATGTATATTTGTATGGATGGTTTGTATGGCTTTAAAATTTTTCTGAATGTTCTGAACTCTTGCATATTAATTGTACCTGATTTTGTTTAGGGATTTAACCATGCTGGATCACTTCACTCTTATTCTTTGTCTTCTCAAATAAATGTCCTACAACATTTATAAAGTATAAATCCATATGTATATGGGTGTGTATCTACCACATATATCTATTAATGGAATTCTTAAGTAGTACACAATGTATATATTCATTATTACCAAATTTTAATAAATTATTTTCAAAATGGATGTTCATATTTACATATATTACAATTTCTATTTTTCTACATTTCAAGTTATCCTTTTTCTTTTTTTTGAGACAGACTCTCACTATGTCATCCTGGGTAGACTGCCGTGGCATCACAGCTCACAGCAACCTCAAACTCTTGGGCTTAAGAAATTCCCTTGTCTCAGCCTTCCAAGTAGCTGGGACTATAGGTGCTTGCCAGACATCCAGCGATTTTTTTGATTGCAGTTGTCATTGCCGTTTAGCAGGCCTGGGCTGAGCTTGAACCCGCCAACCTCAGGGTATGTGGCTGGCACCCTGCTCACTGAGCTCTGGGCGCTGAGTTATCAAGTTGTCATTTTCATATTTTGAAATTTTTGCCCAAATTATAGGGAGTAAAATTTTAACATGTTATTCCAATTGGTAATTTCCTAATTATAAGAAAATTCTATATGTTTTATAGTCCACTGATATTTTAGATTCCCTTTTCACAAACACCTGTTTTTGTGGGCTGCTGTTGGTGTTTTGGGTTTGTTTTCATGTTTGCTTTTCCTAAGTGAATTTCAAGTCCCTTTTTTAGTTTGCTCACAATATGTGTCTTACATTTTTGTTTTATTTATATTGATAGAAAGGGATCGATTTCAATATGGTCAAATTAACTAATTTTACTTTGTGATTTTTGAATCTTATTTCATTAATCAGTTACTGCTTGACTTCCTAAAGATATTTATGTTTATTCTTTTGTATAAATTAACATTAAGTTTCTTTTATTATAGTTCTTGTCTTTAAATTTTAAATTGTATTTTAAAACTTTAAAATTATTTCATTTTCATTGTAAGTTATTTTTATTTCATCTGAGAGGCACAATTGTCAGATCAATCACATTTTATATTTATGCTATATTTTGACTTAAATTGTATTACTAAATTTAATGTGAGGAAAAGGTTTAGTCACAGAACAAAGAAAAATATATAAATGAAATACTTTTGTAAGAGGCGTTCTCTTATCTCTTGTTACTGATAATGAGAATTATAAAATTGAACTCTTCATATACATAAAGGTATACTTACACATATATGAGTAATATAAACACACATTATATATATTTCAAAATTTCATACCTTCAGATAATTTTATGTGGTAATATTTTTCTGTATGTTGCAAAGTACATGTTTTTCAAAACTTAGTGGCACATAAAAATAAAGCCAACCAAGGGAAAAGATCTTGTGTTACATTAAAGTATCTTCACAAATGAGATATTTCCTATTCTTTAGAAGTTTAAGAAAGATCAAGTGCTATTAGCATAAAAAATGAACTTCAGCATTCTTATTGTCAAATAAATCAACCCATGAAGCTTTTTAACATGAACTTTGGTTATTTGTTACCATTGGGAGATGAAGATGGTGTGCTTGGATAATAAATTAATCATAAACAATGGCAAAGGCTCTGGATGCTACACATTATTGTATGAAAACATCACTGTGTACCCCATCAAGATGTACAATCAGTATTTCCCACTTAAAAATTTTTAATTTAATTTAAGTAAAAGAACACAGGTAAGAGTCTTAGATGCCTTAGATATCATTGAATAAGAAGTTACCATTTTGTAAGACAAATATACTATGTTCCAGAAAGGGTAGAGGTCCCGGTTAAATTTCTTAGTACACTTAGAATTCTAATTTTACCTTCTAATAAAATGGTTTGTTTACTTCATCATGCCTCCATTAAGCTGATTAATTAATTTTGAGCAATAAAAAATGTAGAAGGTCATTTGTTATATTGTTGTTCAAACTATTAAAATAAGTGTGGGCCGAGTGCAGTGGCTCATGCCTATAATCCTAGCAGTCTGGGAGGCCAACGCAGGTGGATTACTTGGGCTCAGGATTTCAAGATCAGCCTGAGTAAGAGTGAGACTCTGTCTCTACTAAAAATAGAACAAAAAACTAGCTGGGCATTTAAGTGAATGCCTGTAGTCCCAGCTACTTGGGAGGCTGAGGCAAGAGGATCACTTGAACCCAGGAATTTACGGTTGCTGTGAACCATGATGAAGCCATGACACTCTAGCCAGGGTGATAGAGTGAGACTCAGTGTCAAATAAAAAAATAATAATAAAATAAAATAAAATAAGTGTGAATTTTATTAGAAAGTACAAAATGTTGGAGACTGAGTATTTCTGAAGTCGACAATAGTCCCTGATTAGAAATTGGAGAAAATAATTCTAAGTAACTCCGATTGACATAATGGAATCACATACGAACATAATAATAAATCTTAAGCTAGTTCACCTTCTCACAAGCATCCTAATGGAAGACATCATTTTGAGTGAGGATTATTTCTTTTGTATTACAGTTTCAAATATCTTCAGAAAATAAAATAATTACTTTGTCAGTCCGCCATCAGAAATTATGATTCACAATGTAATAAATCATCAGTACTATGTTATTATATTCAGATTATTTTAAAAATACATCTGCATTATAATTTATATTTTTGTTTTTGCCTAACGTCTTTTAAAAATAAATGTAGCAATTTGAAAATTTCGTTATCAAAATTATAAATATGGAAAAAAAGATGGCCTAAGTACACATCTTGCAGTTCAACGAAAAGCAGAGAATCTGGCGCTCGCTTCGGCAGCACATATACTAAAATTGGACGATATAGAGGAAATAGCATGGCCCTGTGCAAGGATGACACGCAAATTTGTGAAGCGTTCTGTATTTAAAAATTAAAAAAATAAAAAGTAGAGAAACTGTAAGAATTTCAATATCTTTTTTTAGAATTTCAATATCCTCTAGGCAGGAATATTTTAACCAAAGAAAAATTGTGGACTGTAAAGCATAAAACATAAGAACACACGTATTCTCTATTGTGAGTAAGTATTGAAGACAATGCCTCTTTCTTTGCTATAATCCCAACGTCTAATTACAAAAACACACCCTTATACATATGACTAGATTTGTCCTTCTTATGTCTATAACTATGATGCTGCCATTATTATCTGCCCGTGTGTTCAGCTCTGTCAGAAGGCATGGATACAAGGGGAGACTGTTTTCTGACTTTTACACCATGCTGCAGTTTGTAAAAATTGGCAGTGTGATTGCCTGTGACATCCCAGGTCATCTCAAATACTGAGCTGGAAAAAGCCACCTCCTCTGTGTGCCGCTTAGCAGGATGACATCTGTAATGGTCTTACGTGTTACAGCTTTGTTGAGTTCTTGAAGTTCTGTTTGAGAAAAGCTTTGAAAACTTGTCTTTGCTTGCCAATTTATCCCCTCACTTAGTTCAAAGGGGTGATTGGTGTCTATAGTGTAGGCAGGACATTCTTATTCACAGAAGTGTCAATACTCTTCAACGAACTATTTTGATTGAAATTGTCAGACCTTTAAAAAATACCTGTGCCAGACATCTTGAGTCAGATATACACCTATTTTATATGTTATAATACACCTTTGTCCTCCTCTCACACTGTTCACTTGTTCTGTAAATAGAGTTCAGAAATAAACATTCTTATCTCACTTTTCCAAATAGAAATAAATTTTCAACCATGTGATCTTTAGCATCATCAATGATTAGATCCAAAAGATTCCTTCGTATGGCAAGAAAGTCACATAACTTCTCTTTACTCAGGCTTTCAATCTGGAATGAATGAAATAATACTTCTAATATTAGATATATAATATATTTCAAATGACAGTTCCAGAATTCTGGTTCAATACCATTTTATGCAATATTTCACCCATCATGATGGATTCCTAACATGATTATAGCTATATAGTTATATGTTTATATATATAATTTATTCACATTAAAAGTGACAATTTGGATTTACAACTATGCCAATCTACATGATTAGTGAGAAATGATTGTTTCCTACATGAGCTATTTTATATACATTATATTTGATTAATGTATTTAATGTAAGATTTGTTTATAAAATAAAATTTGTACCAAGTATGGAAACATCATAATCTGCATAAACCTTACAAATATCTTTAAATAGGTCACATTAATTTCCTTTAGAAAATTTTGGAACAGCTTATTAAAACATTAGCAAACATATGCGATTTATAAATTAACTTTATTTTAACAAAACATTATATATAATTGCCTATAGCCTTTATATTCATAAATTTAAAAATATCCCTGTTTTAAGAATGACATGGACAATGTTACATGCATAACAATAAATGATTTATTTTCAGAAATAGACATAAAATTGTGCTATGATTGATTTCTACTACATAAGTAATACCGTACAAAGATTACATATAAGATTTGATGAAATATATTGAGCATATTAAAATCTTTATTCTTGGGGTAGAAATTTTTTTTTTTTTTACTTCTCCAAATAAATATCCCAGACTTGACTTATTGAAATCATTGCAATTTCAGTATTTTTACCTATGGCATGATGTGATGAAAAGCTAGGATAATGCCAAGTCTGAAAATGTGATCAATAATATGTAAGTATCAGGTTCACATTACCTTATAGTAAGCACTGTGTAGAAGAGAGTTAGCTGATGTGGTATACACTCCCATACTCCCCAAATCACCCATTCTAGTCATGCAATCAAATTATTTAGGAAAATGTAAGAATGCACATACCTCATTGATATTAAATTAAAGTTATCTTTTTAAGTTCCATAATATAGCATTTGTAGGTCACTGCTCGGAGTAATTTTAACTAACTAGACTTATAAATAGTGTTGAGAATTGTGCACACTTACACATTTGTTTCTATTTTCAATATTATTTTCAAAATAACTGACCATCAGACCTATGGTAGAGTCTGTGCCCCTAAAACAAAGTTTAAACCAGTAACCTCCCCTAAAGTGAAATTACACACCTGCCTGATTCCTAGGGATCAAAGAGTGCATCGAATTTAATCTCTAAACTGAATCTGCTCTTAGGAAGCAGGTTTATATGTTGAAATCTAACCGTATTCTCAGAACTAATAGAAAATAACAGCAATGCTAGTTGTATTACAATTCATTCCCTCCTTGGCTGTTCTAACTTTGCATTATACCCTGTCAACATTTCCTGAATTGCTTATTCTAAATTATTATCTAGTTTTTTTCTTCCCTAGCATTGCAAAGTAGAGCTTTGTGGTTAGAGAAACATACAGGATTAGAACTGGAACAAGCCTTAAATCTTTATGTAGCTGCAGAAAAGTATAAAACAAAAAATCTCAAGGTAACTCCCACATAGTCATGCAGCTGGCTGGACAGAGGGAGAATAACACCGAATTGCTTCTCATTTTAACTCACTACCCGAAAATGAAATACGTGTACCATGTGCTCATTCTCTCTCTTCTCTTTATTTACTTCGTTCACTTTCCCTGAGGATTAGAACATAAATTCCGAAAAGTTTACCGAGGTGAATATGCAAGTGTTAAAACTAGTTGATTATTTTAAAGTCTGCCGTATCAAACATTTTTATGAATTTCCATAGAGTGGATAATTCCCACCGAATCTTCTTTGAGAGGATGGGAAGCTACAGCAGTTAGTAAAGCCTATAAATCTGTGCGTGACATTTGTGGGCTTTGCACACAAATGCAAGCCCACAAATGTTTCCTGTGGCATATGCATAGAACTGATAAAATTTTCAAAGGGAAAAGTGACCTACTAAACTTAAGATGTATAGCTGTTTTAGGAAAACAAATCATATATATATATATATATATAAAAAACAAATAATTGATAGATACCCATAGGTAGACAGAATGATTAATAAAACTTACCTGGGTATTCATAAAAACACACTGAAAGATTATATATTTGCACTGTGTACTGAAGATATATTTTAGTTACCTATTCAATTTCTATGCTTATGAATTCCTATGTTAAAAAAAATGTCATCAATTAGGGTAGTGCTTGTGGCTCAAAGGAGTAGGGCACTGTCCTCATATACCTCAGGTAATGGGTTCAAACCCGGCGCAGGCCAAAAAAAAAAAAAAAAGTCATCAATTAAGGTTACAGTACAAATTGTGTAGCTTTTTATACAAGTTCTTATGTGATTTGGCCTCATCAACTGTTTATTTCCTGAGGTTACTGTAATAGTTGATTATAGGGCAATGCCTGTGGCTCAAAGGAGTAGGGCACCGGTCCCTCATGCTGGAGGTGGTGAGTTCAAACCCAGCCCTGGCCAAAACCTGCAAATAATTAAATACATAAATAAACAATAATTGATTATAGACTCAGTAGCTTAAAATAACACAAATTTATTCTCTCATAGTTCTGGAGGGCAAAAGTCCAAAATCAGTTCTACTGGGCTGAGATCACAGGGAAAGCAGGACTGTATTCTCTCCAGAGGCTGCAGAGTCCCGTTGTGTGCAACCTCTCACTTCTTTCCATTGCCAGCATTCTTTTCCTTGTGGCTACATCACTCCAGTCGCTGCTTCGTGGTCACTTTCTCTCCGCCACTTTGGCATGTTAAATCTCTCACTGTATTTCTTTTATGAGGAAATATGTTTAGGAACCACCAGACAATTCGAGATAATCTCTTCATACCCAAATCCTTATCTTATATAACATCTGCAAAGACCATTTTTCCAGCATGTAATATAATATTTATAGGTTTAACAAAGGTGCCAAGGGCAGCTTTTGTGGGGTCATCATGAGATCTACTATACTACTGTCCTTTGTGATTATTTACTTTCCCAGAAAGTGTCCCTTACAGCTCAGCCACAGGCTGGGAGGTAGTGACAATTCTCAGGCCCATCCTCTCCTTCCAGTCTTTGCCTGTGCTGGTCTTCCTGCCATCTCCAATCCTGGTTCTCATGGCTCTGGGCTTACTTACTTCCTGCATGTTATCAGTCTAACTCAGGTTAAAACAAGTGAATGCAGAAAATACAGAATGAACCAGGCAGGATTGTTCATGCCCGCAATTCTAGCACTCTGGGCGGCCAAGTCTAGAGGTTCACTGGAGGTTGAGAGTTTGAGACCAGCCTGAACAAAGCAAAATCCATCTGTACAAAAAAATAAAAATAAAAATAAATAGTCAGTAGTGGTGGCTACTGAGGAGGCTGAGGCAGGAGGATCACTTGAGCCTCAGAGTGGAATGTGAGGTTGCTATGAGCGAGGCTGACACCATGGAACTCTAGTCCAGCCAATAGAGAGAGAATCTCTCTCAAAAAATAAGTAAGAAAAAAAATGAGAGCAAAAAACCCCCACTCTTTGCTGAGGCTGTGTTGGGACTGACATAAGGATCTTGCTCCCTGTGCATCTTCTCATCATAATCTAGCATTTCACTTATTTACTTGTCCTTTAACTCTTTAAGGTACAGAGAATATAATGACCATTGCTTTAAATCTGAAAATTACCTTACTGCCTGTTACACATTAGGGGATCAATATACATTTATTGACTGCATGATTGTGTGATTGACTTCGTCAGTAGGAATGCTAATTTATTTCAACATAGTATCCTGATCCTCAGAAAATAAGCTGAATCTCAATTAGAAAGAGGGAGTCACTATATGTAACAATAGGAATTGGATTTTCTGTTATTACAGCAGATATTAATATCAAACAATTACAAAATGATCATAGGTAGATATATTGTAGACTTGAAATATGTATTTTTGTTTGGCTTATAGCATTTACTATAAAAAAGTTACTAGGTCCTTATTTGATGTAACATGAAATGTGGTACATGCTCTAAAGTGGAGTAGTCCTTTCCTATATTTCGAAAAGTCTAGTTTCTAAACATTTCTTAACATATG